CTTCAACTCCTACTGCACCCTGTTGTCACAGCACATCCAGAACGCAGATTGGAGCCTATGACTCCTCTGCTCAAGGGTCTTCAAAGACTCTCTGGCTTTTGTCTGAAGTTGAGCCACCTGGTCCCACATGGAACCCCATTCCCACTATGCCACCTCCTGTCTGTTTCAGCTTTTCCAGATAACTTGCAGTTTCCTGTAAAAAGCATAACTTTTAAAAAAGACTTATTTCCTTCTCTCCTACATCTAACTCTCACCAGCTCTTTAAAGTGTTCTCTGACCTAGGTTTTGCCTGTTTCTCCTGCAAAACACTGCCTCCACCATTTTTTAACATCAGTGTCTAATGTTGGTTGGCGTGTAAGATGTGCCCTCTAATACTTGTTGAAAGAATAAGTGGGAGCTAACAGAGACTTTAATTCACATTGAGCTGTAAATGAGCAATATCTGACTCTTCTGAGAATCGATTTTGTTTCAAACACTGGTTACTTACTGGAAAAGGTGTCTAGGGAGTGCTGGACAGCAAGAACAAAGGGACCCCACAGAACAGGAAAAGAGGCACCCTGTGGTCTGCGGTGTGCCTATGTTAGATCACCATGAAAAAGGCCAGTGTGTGCTTTGGCAGCTGCCAAAGAATCCTGTGACTTAGTTTCCTTATTTGCACAAAAAGAGGATGAATCTACATTAGGTAATTACTCATGCTCATTTCCAGCTCTTGACAGTCTATGATTCTTCATGTCAAAGTTAAAAATCTAAGTAGAACATTCCGAATTGGTGTCAGAGCTTATGCATTTCTCCTCACTGTTATTGCAGCTGCGAAGGGGACAAATACATTGTCTTTCTGCCTTCAACAAAGACAGTTTTGCATTTTAAAAACAGCAGAAGGGAATACAGGAAAACTGCATTAATACAGTTTTATGCTGGAGAATTTAAACTCCCAAGTCAGGAAATTCACTCATCATTCCCTTGGCAGCTTTTGTTTCTATGCACTGCATATCCCACTTGCAGACAGCCCCTTCTTGCCAAAGCCTGGCCCGGCCGTGACCATGAGTTATGGCAGATTGGGAATCGTTAAACCTTGATCTTCTCAGCCCTTGTAACTTTTCCAAGTTAATGCCTGTTCTTTAGTGTTACATTATCTTGTAGCAAGGTAGTCATTTATAATTTATATACTGGAGCAGCTTAAAATAGAGACAAGAGGATAATCAGCATAATGAAACTTCTAGTTTTCCAAAATAACATTTCTTCAGTGAAGTCTGCCTGTAGGAATTAAAACTTGTGGTGAATTGAAAAACGCTTTGTCCTATTGTCAGACTGGGAGATTGGAAATGGATGTGCCCATTACTCAGCTTTAAAAAGGAGGAAGGGAGCCGGGCGCGGTGGCTCAAGCCTGTAATCCCAGCACTTTGGGAGGCCGAGGCGGGTGGATCACGAGGTCGACAGATCGAGACCATCCTGGTCAACATGGTGAAACCCCGTCTCTACTAAAGGTGCAAAAAACTAGCTGGGCGTGGTGGCGCGTGCCTGTAATCCCAGCTACTCAGGAGGCTGAGGCAGGAGAATTGCCTGAACCCAGGAGGCGGAGGTTGCGGTGAGCCGAGATCGCGCCACTGCACTCCAGCCTGGGTAACAAGGGCGAAACTCCATCTCAAAAAAAAAAAAAAAAAAAAAGGAGGAAGGAGATCATCTTTTAAAAATAAAACGCATTGTTTTCTTTTATTCTTCTTAAAAACAATCTCTAAAGACCTCAATCTTTATAGTTTTCCGGTGGCCCCACTATAGTTAGAGAGGAGACAGGGCAGAGGCTGGACTGATGGGAGAAACAGCCCTGTTAAAATGTAAAAGCCAGCATGCATTTCGGTTACTAGTCTGCTGCGGTCCTGATATTCTTCATTTAGGTTGCTGCTTGGCTTGACTTTGACTGCAAACACAGAGAAGGGATGGCCTTTCCTGTTGAGTACCTTGTAGAGAACCCACTGTTCATTCATATATGTTAAAAATAAAAAGCCTACTTGAAAACTCCCCTGTGGAATCAGGTTTTAGCAAAAACCAATCAGATATCAGAGGTCTAACTTATTTTTCCCTTCTTGCTTTTTATAGCAAATCTCTAAACCCTAAAAAAATTTTTTTTCTTTTTTTTTTGCGATGGAGTCTTGCTTGGTTGCCAGGCTGGAGTGCAGTGGTATGATCTCAGCTCACTGCAATCTCCGCCTCCTGGGTTCGAGTGATTCCCCTGCCTCAGCTTCCCGAGTAGCTGGGACTACAGGCATGTGCCACCATGCCCCGCTAGTTTTTATATTTTTAGTAGAGATGGAGTTTTCACCATGTATTACCTAGGATGGTCTTGATCTCCTGACTTCGTGATCCGCCGGCCTCGGCCTCTCAAAATACTTGGATTTACAGGCATGAGCCACCATGCCTGGACCCTTAAGCATTTTTTTCATTACTTTTATTTTTTAATTTTTTGAGACAGAGTTTTACTCTTGTTGCCCAGGCTGGAGTGCAATGGCACGATCTCAGCTCACTGCAACCTCTGCCTCTTGGGTTCAAGCAATTCTCCTGCCTCAGCCTCCCGAGTAGCAGGGATTACAGGCATGCACCACCATGCCTGGCTAATTTTGTATTTTTAGTAGATGGGGTTTCTCCACATTGGTCAGGCTGCTCTCGAACTCCTGACCTCAGGTTATATATATGCCTTCCTTGGCCTCCTGAAGTGCTGGGATTACAGGCATGAACTACTGTGCCTGGCTTTCATTCCTTCTTTTTCTTTCTTTGTTTCTTTTTTTTTTTTTTTTTTTTTCATTCCTTTTCATCGTACATTTTCAGTGTGCCAAGACTTTGAGTGGAGATGTCTGATGAGGGCAGGAAAGGACGGATGCTTCTACAGTTGTGTGGTCTCATTTTTCCCATGTCTGATGACCTTGTATTTGAATCGAAGATTACTCATTCACGACCACCATTTCTGTGATGCGTCTCATATGATCCTAATGTACTCGAGTGTGTATTTGAATGTCCACCTGATACTTAGGGGATTGGGGCAAGGAGGGGGCAAGCAGCAAGGAGTGGGCAAGCAGGATGGGAACATCCTGGGTGGTTTGACTTGAACGCCACTAGGTGGCAACATTTACTAAGCTACCGGCCATTCTCTTCCCTCATTGAGACATAGAATTTGCTTTTCCAGATAGCAGATGGAATCGCTGAGAAAAGAGTTTAGAAGCCATTGCTTTCAGGTTCTTTTGAAAGTGAGGCTACAAGATAAACACACTACAGTATCTATTCATCACCTGGGTTTAGATACCAGGAGTTTGAAATTGCTCTGGGTGACTGAGTAGCTTCCCCTTTGGCCTCAGTTAGGCATTCTTGATAGGAGAGACCTGTGATTGGACTGTGGTCTCTCATGGTTCTTTTTCTCCATGATTTATGACTTTGATTACAGCTTCTTTATATTTTAAAAAAAATTGTGGGCTGGGAACAGTGGCTCATGCTTGTAATCCCAGCACCTTGGGAGGCTGAGGCAGGCAGATCACAAGGTCAGGAGTTCGAGACCAGCTTGTTGAATATGGTGAAACCCTGCTTCTACTAAAAAATACAAAAATTAACCGAGCGTGGTGGCCCATGCCTGTAGTCCTAGCTACTCGGGGGGCTGAGGCAGGAGAATCGCTTGAATCCAGGAAGCAGAGATTGCAGTGAACCAAGACTGTGCCACTTCACTCCAGCCTGAATGACAGAGTGAGACTCTGTCTCAAAGAAAAAAAAATTGTGGTAAAAGCAGTCTTAATGTAAAGGAACACTAGCCTTTTATCAAAGGGCAAAGTCATGATTTTTTTAAAAAAATCAACAACAAAATTTCAAGGAAATGAATCAAGCTTTTTTTTTTTTTCCCAACGAAATTTTTTGAATTTATTATAATCATGCTTCTCTACAACTAATGATTCTTGTGATCTGCAAATCATGTCTGCCTTTATTTACCTACACAAACACAGAAGAGAATTTTCAATAGGAGAGGTTCACACAGCAAACAAAATACAAAGTGTGCGACCTCAATAAGGCATTCAACAAAGACACAAGCCACCTTTCCCTCTGACGGGTCCCTTAGGATGCTCTGATGTTGGCGTCACATTCTTCTAAAAGCAGAATCAAATCTTCAATCAGGCTGTGTTCTCTGCCATGAGTCACTCTATAATATCAAAAGCCAGTCTCAGGTTCTTCATCGCTTGGGGAAACATGCCTTAATGTAACTGCAGTTTGCCAACTTTCATTACTTGAACGCCTCTGACGGGATGGCTGCCTGGGAAAAAAATCCTGTACGGCTCCATGGTGCGAGTACCGTAGAACAAGGCCTTCTCCAGCAGGCCCAGGTGGATGCAGGCGTCCATGGCGCAGTCAAGCACCTTCAGCTGGTAGATGTTGATATCGGGAAGCCGTTCCGAATTGCTGCTTATGATCGCCTGGCACATGGCCAGAACCTGCTCCCACTTCCAGTGTGCCTTCAGTTCTTCAATTGTTTTCAGGGATTTCTGAACTTCCTTCCACACTTGCTCATCACCAGTCAGCATATCAGCATCCTGCCAGATACCAGTAGTCACTGCGAATTACAAGGCTAAGTTTCTTCCACAGGACAAGTCTGGAATCCAGCGAGGCTAGCTTGAAGCTAGCCATCTCCCTGTGTTAACTTAAGAGGCTAGACTCTCCTAAATGAGGATGCTTATTTACCAGCTTTCCTAAATTAGCAGCTTTGGGGATGTTAAGATCCGTAAGGAACTGTCCAAGGGAGATACTGTGTATGCTTTGCAGTGATTAAGCCATTAAGCTCTAATTGGTATTTTCCCACTCAAGGGTTTGTGAGGGAAGCTTTAAAATTGTTTAGGAATTCAGTCCTCATCAGCTGTCTTAGAGTCATCCCCACGTTTTAGAATCTGAGAGTGGAGAGTACAGAGAAAAGGTTTTTGTGTAAGTGGATGACGATTTTTGCTCACAGTTCCTTCCCCGTTGGTTTGTTATTGCAGATGAAGTGGAAAGGGAAGGACCTATTTGATTTGGTGTGCCGGACTCTGGGGCTTCGAGAAACCTGGTTCTTTGGACTGCAGTACACAATCAAGGACACTGTGGCCTGGCTCAAAATGGACAAGAAGGTTGGGCTGGAACTCGATGAAACCGGTGGGGCTGATGCGTGCTTTCCAGTTTTTCCCTGAGCAGGCGCCTAGCTCATCACTGGGGCGCTGTAGCTGTATAGTAGAGAAGGGGGCACATTCCTGAATTAAGTCATGCAGAAAGCAGGACCTGGAGATGCTACCGGTTTCCTACTCCTCACAGGCTCTCCTGGGCAAGCAGAAGTTACCAGGATTAGACTGTTGCTGGCCCTGGCTTCTTTACCCACTGTTACGAGCCTGATTGCTTCTGGCTTTATGCCTTTCACTTTATGGACTAAAAATTACTGTTATCTTGTTATACTTAAAAATAACCAATTTATGTCTTTGAGAAAGTATTGGGGCTTGTGTTCTTTAGGGAATTTTTAAAAGTCTTTTTGAGAAACACCAGGTCTAACGTTAATTAATCATTAATATCATCTAAAGAATAGAGAGTACCTGGTCCCCAGGGTGAAAGAATGTCCATTTTGTCCTCAGGATTCTCTGGAGCTTCTGAGGCATGGTAAAGAAAACTGGGCTCCTGGCAATTTTAATGTGGCTTGTAAATGGAAATTGCCTAAGGGAACTTCCTTCTGCCTGGGTTCATATGTTCACACAAACATATACTTGCTTACTGACCTCCCTACCTAGCCATGAAAGGCAGGTGGGAAGCAGGACTGTGTGCTTTGTCAATTACTCCTAAAAGACACCTTAACCTCAAAGTAAGTCAATGTCTGATTCTTAACCCCAAATGGTGGCCCCAGTGGTTGCCTACCTGAGCATGATAAACAATGAAAGCCTCCCCGCCACCTTTTTTTTTTTAGCCAGTTTGACTCAAAGCTTAAGTGTTCAAATTGTGTTCACGCATGTACATGGTAATCTAAGTCTTCACATAGGAATCCCTGCTGGTTGTAAGTTCAGTGGTAATTCCCAATGATTGTGAGCATCTAAGTGCCACTGGGTGCCGTTGTCAGTGAGGGTGTCATAGACCAGATCTTGAATTTCCTTGGCATTGCCATCTAGAATTTGGACAGAAGCATGGAGAGTTATGTGTCAAAGACAGCAAAACTTTTTCATAATTCTTTTTTTTTTTTAAATTTTCCGAGCTAGCTGAGATTTTATTTTGGACCAAAAAAAAAAAAAAAAAAAAAAAGCCAATTGAATTGTTTTGCAGCTGGAGGCATGGGCAAGGGGGGATCCCCAGGCAGTAAACTCCCCGTGGGTGGGCTGATGGCTAGGGCTGAGCGTCAAGTGGGTCTCCTGTTCCCTGTGCTCCCCTGTACAGTGGCCTCCCTCCTGGGCTCTGGGGCAGCCTCAGGAGGGGTTGTTTTTCACGATTCTTAGCAAAGTGAATTTTAATCATAGCTGAGTCTTGGCCAAATGGATATTAGACTGGGGGCATCAGGAGCCATGGAATTGCTGCTCAAAGGAAATACATTATGACACATGTTCATGGAGCCTTGTAGCCTGTCACATGGCATGTTTATGTCTTGAAATTCACTCTGGAGAGCAGATGGTTCAAGCTTTACAGGGGTGGAAGGAATTGTTCCAAGATTACAGGCAGTGGTTTACAGACTGTACTCAAAGTATTTTGTGGGGCATCTCTGGAGGTTCCTTGAAACAAAGGGTTGCCATGATGGACACATTTTTCTTCTATTGCTTACTTAGTGTTTGGATGATTTCATAACAATCTAGTTCATCATCTCTAAGCTGTATTCTTTTTTTTTTTTTTTTTGACATGGAGTTTCGCTCTTGTTGCCCAGGCTGGAGTGCAATGGTGCAATCTTGGCTCACTGCAGCCTCCACCTCCCGGGTTCAAGAGATTCTCCTGCCTCAGCCTCCTGAGTAGCTGGGATTACACGCATGCACCACCATGCCCAGCTAATTTTTGTATTTTTAGTAGAGATGGGGTTTCACCATGTTGGTCAGGCTGGTCTTGAGCTCCTGACCTCGTGATCTGCCCACCTCAGCCTCCCAAAGTGCTGGGATTACAGGTGTGAGCCACCACTCCTGGCCAATGTTTAGATGATTTCATAATGATCTAGTTCTTAATTTTTTTTTTTTTTTTTTTGAGACGGAGTTTTGCTCTTGTTACCCAGGCTGGAGTGCAATGGTGCGATCTCAGCTCACCGCAACCTCCGCCTCCCAGGTTCAGACAATTCTCCTGCCTCAGCCTCCGGAGTAGCTGGGATTACAGGCACGCGCCACCATGCCCAGCTAATTTTTTGCACCTTTAGTAGAGACGGGGTTTCACCATGTTGACCAGGATGGTCTCGATCTCTTGACCTCGTGATCCACCCGCCTCGGCCTCCCAAAGTGCTGGGATTACAGGCTTGAGCCACCGCGCCCGGCCAATTTTTAAGTTATATTCTTTTTTTTTTTTTTTGAGACGGAGTTTCGCTCTTGTTACCCAGGCTGGAGTGCAATGGCGTGATCTCGGCTCACTGCAACCTCCACCTCCTGGGTTCAGGCAATTCTCCTGCCTCAGCCTCCTGAGTAGCTGGGATTACAGGCACGCGCCACCATGCCCAGCTAAATTTTTTGTATTTTTAGTAGAGACGAGGTTTCACCATGTTGACCAGGATGGTTTCGATCTCTTGACCTCGTGATCCACCCGCCTCGGCCTCCCAAAGTGCTGGGATTATAGGCTTGAGCCACCGCGCCCGGCCGAGTTATATTCTTTTTTACCTTGAGACAGAGTTTTGCTCTTGTTGCCCAGGCTGGAGTGCAATGGCACAGTCTCGGCTCACTGCAACCTCCACTTCCCGGGTTCAGGAGATTCTCCTGCGTCAGCCTCCCAAGTAGCTGGAATTACAGGCATCCACCATCACACCCAGCTACTTTTCTGTATTTTTAGTAGAGATGGGGTTTCACCATGTTGTCTAGGCTGGTTTCAAAGTCCTAACCTCAGGTGATCCACCCGCCTTGGCCTCCCAGAGTGCTGAGATTACATGTGTGAGCCACCTGTGCCCAGCACTCTAAGCTGTATTCTAACATGGACCTAAATGTTGACAGTAGGCAGCAAGAAAAAAAGAATAAAGGAATATTCCACTACTTCAGATAATTAAAACACCTTCTGTCTACCATAAAGGACAGTACCTAAAATAGAGTGATAAATTTCTGGTTTTTAACTATTTCTGTGGCCCTGAGAACATTTATGCCTTAATCCTAGCTCTACTCACTTTTTGAGGCTGTTGATTAATTTGGTTCAGAAACATCATGGGAAGTGAATATTACCTCTTGTTATAGATGACTTTATGAATGCTTCAAACTGTAGCATCACAACTTTTGGGAAAGGTGATAAATTTAGTGGGAAAAAATTTAATGCACGCCTTGAAAAAGCTTCTCCGAGGGTAGGACAGGAGAAAGAAGTGCCAATACAGTGTGTTTGTCTTTTGCTCTGCAATTCTGCAGGTGCTGGAGCATGATGTTTCAAAGGAAGAACCAGTCACCTTTCACTTCCTGGCCAAATTTTATCCTGAGAATGCCGAAGAGGAGCTGGTTCAGGAGATCACACAGCATTTATTCTTCTTGCAGGTACATCCGTCCAGGCTACCCCACAGTTCTGAGAGAATGTGCCAAGGAGTGGTTGCAGAGTCAACCTCGGAGTTGACCACAAACACCTTTGTAGTGCAAAAATATTCTACCTCTGGAAAGTCAGCCCCTTTGGTTCTGTAATGGAAAAAAAAAGTCTTCAGAACAGAACTATACTTGAGTGATGAAAATTGGTGTCAGATGAAATTGCAAAGGTGTGATGGTGAAGAATAGATACAAGTAGCTACCTAACTTAAAACCTCCTTGAAAATGGATCCTGTTTTCTTCTAGCTAACTTAAAAGTACTCGATAGTTTCAAAGGAAGGCTGAAGAGAGAGTCTTATAAAGCAGTAGTTCTTCCAAAAGTTTAAAATCTGCTCTCATTAAGAGAGGACTTCAGCGCTCCAGTGATACTTGTTTTGCTCCCTGTATGTGGTACTTCAGACATCATGCTTCATGCTACACTGTGTCTCTAATTGTCCTGTTTCTCCCTTACTTCCCCATTAGATTGTAAGCCCCTTAAAGGCAAGGATCATTAAGTACACAGTAGGCATTCCATAAGTAATTGTCCAACCAAATTGAAGAAATTAGGAAATTCATAATTACAGGTTGACTATCCAGAGGCACAGGGAGGAGAATTGGTCTGAGGATGAAAATCTTGTCAGTTTCACTTATGTTCTTACCGAGGGTCAGAGTGGCTCCCCAGTTTCATGGCCAGTTACAGTGATTGGCACTGGGGTTATTTGCATGCTCAAAGGTTTCAGTAATGTAAAAGATGGCAGTAGATTTCCAAGAGATAGATGTGTAGTCTGTCACATAGCCCTCCTGTAGTTAATTTCAGCTTCAGTATATTGTGTTCAGCAAATGTTAAGTTAAATATAATAAAACCCCCTAAATAATTTCGTTTTTAAAACGGTGTGTGTGTGTGTGTGTGTGTGTGTGTGTTTGTGTGTGTGTAAAAGGTGACAAATTTATTTCTGACATTTTCAGGTCAAAGGGATGCTCTTAGGCTGGGTGTGGTGGCTCACGCCTGTAATCCCAGCACTTTGGGAGGCTGAGGTGGGCGGATCACCTGAGGTTGGGAGTTTGAGACCAGCCTGACCAACATGGAGAAACCCCATCTCTACTAAAAATACAAAAATTATCCGGGCATGGTGGCGCATGCCTATAATCCCAGCTACTCGGGAGGCTGAGGCAGGAGAATTGCTTGAACCCGGATGGTGGAGGTTGTGGTGAGCCAAGATTGCGCCATTGCACTCTAGCGTGGGCAACAAGAGCACAACTCTGTCTCAAAAAACAAAAGTTAGGGAATGCTTTTTCAGTTTTTCTATAGTGCTGCTCTTTCCCCCTTCTCTTTGGAAATGAAACCAAGGGATTAGAAAGTTGCACTGCTTCAGCAACATCTCAGGTTTTGTTTTCTCTTTAAAGAATGTAAAATCACTTTTTAAACCTGAGAAGAATTTTTGTGTTTGAATGAAAGCACATAAAGATTCCTAGGTCCCAGAACGTCCTAATGTTATAGAAATGGCTTTCTTGGAAGCACTGCCTGTCTCTTGTGTGACTTTGGCTTGATATTCCCCTATACTGAAATGTGAAGGCATTTTTATGACTGAGCAAGGCAAAATTTACCTCTTTTATGAATTTAGTGACTGTTGACATCTGTGAGAGGAGAGCTGGCTTTCCTGTTGTGTTTATTTCAGTGCCACCCACATCATGCAGTTCTATTGCTTCTATGTCTGGAACATCCCAATTTGCACCATTCTAAGAAAATTAAGTGCAATGAAATATGTTAATTCAACATTATGGCTTAAGAATTATATTTCCTGGACCTCACGTGTACTTAAAAGTTGAATCGATCAAATTTTATTGCTTCCTTTTTCCTTAGAGCAGCACATTGAAAGTGATGATTTTTTTCTGCAGTCATAACTCAGTAGCCTTGGTGACTTTTGTCTTGTGTTAATACTTAAAAGTAAATCCATTTCCTCTGGGGCCATGGGTATTCAAAGGGGCTGAGGCTGCAGTCACCCCCAGAGCTACTCTTGACACTTCTTGGGTTCATGGCACTCTGTCATAGCCCAGATGTCAGCCTCTGTTGTAACTACAGAGACTGTTTTTACTCTTCAGCATTCGTCATGAAGAGAAGGGATAAGGGGTTTTTATGTGTAGCCATCATACCGGTAACTACTGTGACTGAACTCTCCACCTGTCCGCATCAGTGAAAAAAAATTGTACTCTTTGTCAGAAAATTATGAACAGGCTGCTCTAGCAGCCCTCGTTAGAACACCCTGCAGCTGTCTGTTGTGATCAGCCTACACACCTCACTTCCACACACACAGGATCACATCTCCCTTGTTGCTCCTTTCAGGTAAAGAAGCAGATATTAGATGAAAAGATCTACTGCCCTCCCGAGGCTTCTGTGCTCCTGGCTTCTTACGCTGTCCAGGCCAAGGTAGGCTCAAAGAAGAGAAATGTATTCTTCCTGGGGGTTAATTTGGGTCATGGGATCACTCCTATCTTCTCTTTCTTTGTGTTTTCTGTACTTCAGAGAGACTTGCCCCAGAAAGTGAGATGTTATGGTACTTGTGGACTTGGGAGAACCACTGTTGCTGTTCCAGTGTTTATATAATCGTGTGTGTGTGTGTGTGTGTGTGTGTGTGTGTGTGTGTGTGTCCTGTGCACAAATTATAAGTATCATTCTAATTAATTAGAATTCATTCTAAGAAAATTTATTCAGACAGATGAATTTTCTATGTAATCTCATTATGCATATGTGGTTTATGACATTTACTGGACAAACCTTTTTTCTTTTTCTTTTTTTTTTTAAAACCATAAACTCAACCAGGTGGTACAACCTTTTTGTTAGCCAGGAAAAATAAATTTATAGTCTCCAATTTTAGTCAGACATGGCCTTTTGGTCAAAAAGGCTCAGGTCCTCATCCAAACTCATTTGAGAACCAGCTACCCTGCGTGTGACACTACACTATACCCTCAGAGAATGCCCTGCTTCATCTGCCCCTGCCTGATATGGTAGCTGTACATGTGACTGACCACTGCAGTGCTGCGGCCTACCGAGCCCAGTTGAGCTGTCTGGTTAGCTCAAAATTGTTTACTTCCGTTAAATCACTAGAGACCTTTTTCTTTTCTTTTTTTTTTTTTAATAAGACCAATGAGAGGGTCAGCCAGGATGTTTCATGTCCCTCAGATTTCCTACTTCAGTCATATATCACCTTATTTCGGTTCCCCTGCTCCCTGCTTTTCACCAGAACACAAGATGTTGTCCCCAGAATTGGGACACTTTGATTACTTTTGTGATTTTGTTCTATTTATTTTTTATTTCTATTTTTATAGAAACAAGGTCTCACTATGTTGCCCAGGCTGGTCTCGAACTCCTGAGCTTAAGTGGTCTTTCCACCTTGGCCTCCGAAAGTGCTGGTATTACAGGTGTGAGCCAACATGCCTGGCCTTACTTGTGTGATTTCAAAACATAATCTTTTCACTTATTTTTCTTTTTAAGTATAGGTGTTCATGAAGCCATTTCCCTATAAGTTTAGGAAAATTAATAAAATACTCTTAGCTCAATTTTTGGGGTAGGTTAATGCAATTTCAGATCAAAGCTAGGAAGGAACTGTGTCATTTGCAGGGTTAAAAAGGGCTACACATGCTGGTCAGGCCAATAGAGGCACCAGAGTCAATTTAATCATTTGATGGCTCATGTAACATTTGCTGAGTATTCACTAGGCCTGGGGTGGGAGGAACAGTGGGAATTGTTGACGGTCTCAGAGTTGCAGGCACTAAAGCAAGTATCTGCTCTCAGTGATTTGCCCAAGGTCATTCACAAAATCTTGGGTAAAGCTAAGGGCAGAAGGGCAGAATTCATGGCTTTGGGATTGCATTTTATGTGTCCAATATTCTATTTCCCTGAAAAGTAAGTAATTGAGAAAACAGAAAATGGGCCTTCATTCAGCTAAAATATATGCTTCCTTTTATGCTTTGATCAAGAATTTTAGTAACAGGAAAAATATGTCCTTTCAATCAGCATCGTCCCAACAGTGATGGAGTGGTCATTGGCACTTTGATTAACTCTGAGCACTTCCTGGTTTCTTTTTGCACACTTTCTCCCCAGCAAGGGGAGACACAGGCTTTCAAGGACACTAACTCTCTTTGAAGGGCTTCCATCTCAAAGGCTACATTTTCTTTCCATGGATTTTGGACCACAAATTCAAAGACCACCTGTAGAAAAAGAATCACTTTTCAGGGAACCAGCAGATGTTTGCTTAAACAGATTTCACTGTAGGAAAGCCCTGCTAATTTGGATCCTACTAATTTGAAGATGAAAGTGATTCACAGACAACATATGTGGCTCACATGGAGGAGGATGTTCTAACTTTTTTCTGGTGTAAATTTTAAGGATCTTACAAATAAAGGTAATCTATGGCTTAAAGTCTTCATTTGGAAAATTAAGGCTTACTCTGATATGTTTCCAGTTTCTAGGACTGCTGGTTAATATTAAAAGGATATCTCATTAATTATTAATAAGATCTTACGTGCCCATAGTGTTTTATAGTTTTAGCAAAGCAATACAAATGAATATTTTGTATGAAACTCAGTGTAATCTTTCTGGAAGCTAAGGCTTGAGAGTATTATGCCTGTTTTGCAGAAAAGGAATTTAAGGCTCAGAAAGGATTTGTGATTTGTCCAGACTCACAGTACTTTTAGTTAAGTCTACTTTTGTGAAATTTATAGCCTACTTCTTGATGGAGAGAATTTCAGACCAAACAGAATGGGTAGAGCTGGGATGGGAACCCTGGTGTCCAGGCTGCCTAAGTTAGCACATTGCCCTTGCCTTTCACTGTCTGGCATGACGGAAGCCTTTGGGTAGCAAGCACTGCCTTTCCCTAAAGGCTGATTTCCTTTATATGATCTCGTTTGTCTAAGTTTTTCAGTAAGTCATACTGGTTCTTTTCATTATATTCAACTTGTTTTCTTCCACAACCTTTCTGAAACAGAAAGGAACTTTAGAAGTGTGGAGGGGAAAGCAAATTGAGCTCATTAACACATGGAATGTAATTATGCACAAATGTATTCATTACAGTATTTCAGCTGTTGGAATGATGTAGACACAGTTAATTCCAAAGCATAAAGAAACAATTACCCTCAAAGTATAAATACAAATACTAATCACATGGTTCAGTTAACAAGAACCATATTTGAGTTATGCTTGAATCAAAAGTATAGGCAGGGGCTGGGTACAGTGGCTCACACCTGTAATCCCAGCACTTTGGGAGGCCAAGGTGAATGGATCACCTCAGGTCAGGAGTTCAAGACCAGCCTGACAAATATGGTGAAACCCCATCTCTACTAAAAATACAACAATTAGCCAGGTGTGGTGGTGTGCACTGGTAGTCCCAGCTACTTGGGAGGCTGAAACGGGAGAATTGCTTGAACCCAGGAGGAGGCTACAGTGAGCTGAGATTGCACCATTGCATTCCAGCCTGGGCAACAGAGCAAGACTCCATCTCAAAAAAAAAAAAAGTATAAGCAGCGTTTTTTTGGTACAGTCACATGACACGCTAAATCATCTTGCAATGTTTAAGTCACCTGTATATTGACCATTTGGTACTTGGAAATGTGTTCTTCATTAAAAATGACTTAGGGAGAGAAAGACTCCTAGTGATCAGAAAAGAGAAAGGAATTGTTGGAGGGGAGACTTAGTGTTTCTTAGTACTCTTTAATGCAAATCAGGGACAGAGTGCCAAAATACAATTGAGTTAGAAAATTGAGTATGTGTAAAGTATAGATAGAGAGTGGCAAGAGTTGAGGCTGGAGAGTTATGCAGGAAATCAGATCATAAAAGGTCTTAACTTTATCCTGTGGGTGATGCAGTGAAGGGTTTATATTTTAGATAGAGCCTGTAGTGGCTGTCTGATGGACAGATTGGAATGAGACAACTTTGGAAACAGGGAGACCCATTAGAAGACTGTGATAGTTGTCCTGCTGAGAGAATATTAGGTTCACACGTCAGGTGGTTAGTTGGTTGGGGACTGACTGATTTTAAAATATCCAGAAGGCCGGGCGCGGTGGCTCAAGCCTGTAATCCCAGCACTTTGGGAGGCTGAGGCGGGTGGATCACGAGGTCGAGAGATCGAGACCATCCTGGTCAACATGGAGAAACCCTGTCTCTACTAAAAATACAAAAAAAAAATTAGCTGGGCATGGTGGTGCATGCCTGTAATCCCAGCTACTCAGGGGGCTGAGGCAGGAGAATCGCCCGAACCCAGGAGACAGAGGTTGCGGTGAGCCGAGATCGCGCCATTGCACTCCAGCCTGGGTAACAAGAGCGAAACTCCGTCTCAAAAAAAAAAAAAAAAAGAAAAAAAAGAAAAAAAAAAATATATATCCAGGAGGTAAAAGTTGATTAAATGGTGCTATGCTCTGCATATCCCTTTTTTTCATATCCTTTTACAGATTGATATTTTTCCTTACACTCAGCATCTGCTTTGAGATATATCCATGTTGTGTGTATAGATGTAGCTCATTGATTTTAGCTGCTATATGGTAACCACTGATATCTGTTCCCCTTCTGAGGAAGAGGTAGTTTGTTTCTACTTTTTCCCTGTTATATAAACAGTGCTCAACTGAAGATCCTTTTGTGATTCCTTATGTACATGTGCAAAAGCTTTTTTCCCTTAGGGTAGGTGTCTACAAAAATAAATAAATAAATGAAAACGAAAAATAGCCAGGCGTGGTGGCAGGCGCCTATAGCCCCAGCTACTTGGGAGGCCGAGGCAGGAGAATCCCTTGAACCCAAGAAGCAGAGGTTGCAGACAGCAGAGATTGCACCACTGCACTCCAGCCTGGGAAACAGAGTGAGAGTGAGACTCCATCTCAAAATAAACAAATAAATAATTTTAAAAAAGTTATGTGTCTAGAAGTAGAATTGCATAGAATTGACAAAAGAAGTGAAGCCAAATGTAAAAAAATTTTAAGTTGCCGGGGGCGGTGGCTCAAGCCTGTAATCCCAGCACTTTGGGAGGCCGAGGCGGGTGGATCACGAGGTCAAGAGATCAAGACCATCCTGGTCAACATGGTGAAACCCCATCTCTACTAAAAAAAAATACAAAAAATCAGCTGGGCCTGGTGGCGCATGCCTGTAATCCCAGCTACTCGGGAGGCTGAGGCAGGAGAATTGCCTGAACCCAGGAGGCGGAAGTTGCGGGAAGCCGAGACCGCGCCATTGCACTCCAGCCTGGGTAAGAAGAGCGAAACTCCGTCTCATTTAAAAAAAAAAACAAAAAAAAAAAAATTAAGTAAGAGAAAGAATGGCTAGCAAATACAAAAGATGCTTCATCTCACAAGTAATCAAGAAAAAAGAAAAAGCAACAATAAGGCAACATTTCAATCCCATAAGATTGGGTAACTGCATTGCTGGTGCTCATTTACCTGCCAAAG